TACGTTGCGTATACCACACGGCGTCTCAGCATGCAGTGCATCTATATGGGGCTGGCTGCATTTAAGCCTTTTAGACCGATCGTCCTTGTGATTGCTTTATAGAAGCTTCTGTCGAATATTCCGTAAATATCAAGAAATGCACTTCTTATTTTTCCAGAACGTATTTCACTGTTTGTACGAGATAATGCAGTGCGGTTTTCTTAGACAATTTTGCTCTATATGCATACAGCCCATGATAGACTTGGCCTCTCTGGGTCGGATCTTAGAGACTCGGCATCAGGGACTTGGCTTTTTCCTTTCCAGTTGTGCCAGGTATAGGAATAAAAGCTACTTTTATGGGCCTCTATGCTTGTGTTATGCTGCTAGTTCTATGTTAAGTCTGAAACGTCATACATTATTTTGTACTAAAGTCACGGATTTGGTGATTTGTATGTCTCTTATGAGTTTATTGCCCATTTTTTTCGCCTAAAACCGTAAGTTATTGTCTCCAGTCCAGTTTACTGTCACGTATTTAGTGGTATCTATTTTATTTTAGACTTAAAAAGTTTACCCTGAAAAGTTCTTTCAGGATCTTTCCACTATTTAACTCTATTCACCTGGCTCCTTTTGTAGTGAGGGTATACTTATTTGAGCATTCTTTGAGAAAACTTTATGAAGCTTTGATATTTTTGCAATTTAATTTATCTCCCTGCAATGCTTTCTCCACGATTATCTTTTTGCACCCATCTGATTTTTTGGCGAAGGTTAATTTTTGTCTGATATTATATCAGATTTGCAAGGATATTATTCAACCAACGGACCTTTCCTATTGGAGTTCATCACTATATTAACAATTCATACATAAAAAAGAAGATAAAACATACACGAGTGAAAAAAAATCGGTAATGGGTACATGGGAGAGGAATTTTACTAAAGGCAAAATGCTGATGAGGATGAAAATTTTCTTATACAAGATGATGGCATAATAATAGAATTACCCAGTGAAGCAGGAAATAAAAATTTATATAATCAATGGAATCAAAAATACCAAAAGACCGGGAGAAAACAGAATAGCTACGGAGATGCTACAGAATGAAGGAGAAAAACAAAAAAAGATGTATAGTCTTATCAAGAGGATGTGGGAAGAGGAAAATACGCATTACTTCAAAATATAATGCAAAGAAAAATAGAAGGAAAACGGAATCTAGGCCGTAGAAGAATGTCATGGTTGCGTAATTTGGGAGAGTGTACCACTCTCCCAAATTACAGTTTGACTGTACCACTAATGAACCCTTTAGGTCAGCCGTAAGCAAGGTCAGGATAGCCTTGATGATCTCCAATCTTCGACAGGAGTGGCACAAGAAGAAGATACCTTATCTTTCCTTTAACCCTGCCTAAACAATATTCCAGGTCTGCTTGATATGCTCTCCAGTTTGTTTTATAAAGAGTTGCTATAAGTCTACTTAATATGCTCATTACCTGTATTTTAAAACAGATGTGTCGATGATCTAAACAGGACACGCCATCTGACATATACCATTTTTGAACAGCTTTACTTCCTTTTGGTTTGATGTTACAAAAATTAGTTTATTTCTTTTATTTAGTATGTCTAAATCGTTTTCTATAACAACTATTAGTAATTACTCAAGACTTTTATGGGTGTTCGTATTATCCAAGGTCACTGTGCTTTGGTACGCATTCGCATCACAGCCGATGATCAGCTGCAGTCCATTTATCCTGCGAGCTCTCACTAGCTGTTATCTCCCTTGGTAGTGATATTTCGGGATTATCATAGGAAATTATGTTGATGCGGGAATTCTGTCCTTCATACTTATTCCTTTTGTGATATACATCTTTACCGTCATTTAATTTCTGGAAAAAAATTCGTCAATAGCAGTATTTTAAACATGGTTTGACTATTTTATAATGCCCCGTGCCTTTGAAAGATCGACATATATAAGCTATATTCTAAAAGTTTACCTGCAGGATTGTGAATGGGCCCATCAACGTATCTAATGGTTTTGAAAGACAGCCGTGTTGTATTAATATGAGATCGGTCAACTAATTATCTATTTCTATATTTGCAGTTTGATTGTCGCATATTTTTTAATAAGTCTATAGTGTTTATCCTCTCTATCAATTTCATTTAATATGGACAGTAGTTTGTCATGCTTTATTAGGTCTACTCCCTCTTCGTAGTCTAAAAAAATTATATTAAAATCATAGTTAACGTCTCGGCATCTTCGAAATGGAACCTGCGTGTTAAATAGGGCATTTCGTGTGCCTAAAACTACAGTGTCACGAAATCGGAAATGTGTACGTTATACATGTTTAGCACATTTTTTTTGTTCTTTTATGAATTACTATAGCATAGCGCTATTTAAGAGTGGCTATAAAGATGAGGATGATGAAACCTAAGACCTATTCTACAAGCAACTGACTGATCAGTATGAGCATCTTCCAAAACATGATATAAAAATAGTAATTGGTGAATGCAATGCACAAGTGGGGAAAGAAGCTATGTATAACGTAGTAGCTAAAATACATAGCAAGCATAAAGTGACAAATGATATGGCCAAAGGCTAATTAGTTAGAACAAAAAGAAATACATAAGGGAACCTGGGTGTCTCCTGAGGGAAGGGCCGGTAACCAGATTCACGACGTATTGGTGGTAAGAAACAACAAGAAATTTATAATAAGAAATATAAGATGAGCTGAAATGGAGTCGGCCCATTGTTTGAATATGTGGAACGGTGCAAAAAGATAAAGAAATGAGAATAAAACATATTTAAAGAGGAAAAATGAATATTATATATAAATGATAACAAAAAGAAAGTATATCAGTGAAATATATTAAGGGCTATTATCTCAAAAAGAAGAAGAGAAACTATGAATAGAACAAGTGTGGGCAAGCTAGACGAGAGGCTATAAGTATAGAAAATGACAAAATATTTCACAAAAGAGAAAAACAGGGAAGAATGGAGTATGCCTTAAAATAGCAAAGGAAAAGAAAAGATTAAGACAATTGGCGCAAACAAAGATGGTACGAACTAGAGTTACAAATATCAAAGAAGAATAACAAGACACAAAAGGAGAATTCAAAAAAACTTAATACGAGAAATACAGTAAATATTTCAGAAAAAAGAAGAACGGTCGTTTTATCAAGTTAAAAAAAAATTGGAAATCCGAATTACAATTCATATATGAGCGAAAAAAAAATCAGTAATGGGTATATGGGACAGGAATTTTACTAAAGGCAAAATGCTGATGATAATGAAAATTTTCTTATACAAGATGATGGCATAATAATAGAGCTACCCAGTGAAGTAGAAAATAAAAATATATATAATCAATGGAATCAAAAGTACCAAAAGACCGGAAGAAAACAGAATAGTTACGGAGATGCTACGGAATGAAGGAGAAAAACTGTAAAAAAAGATGTATAGTCTTATCAAGAGGATATGGGAAGAGGAAAATATGCCCAAGGATTGGATCAAAGCTATATCATATACAAAAATGGGGATAGATTGGCATGTAAAAATTACAGAGGTATTGCTCTGCTGAATACTTGTTACAAGATATTAGCCAGGATGCTAAGAGAAAGACTCAACGGATATGCTGATAATAAACTAGGTAAGTATTTACAGTAAGTATTTAACTAGGCCTGTTTTACAGTTAATAGATAATTGACAGATTAGATTTTTACACTAAAAAAATCCAGACTATCGGCTACGAATATAAGGTAACCCTTCATGCATTGTTTTTAGATTTTAAACAAGCGTATGATAGGATAAAAGGAATAAATGAAACAATGTATGAAGCACTGAATTGCTTGGGTATACCCTCAAAACTGGTTAGGTTAGTAAGAATAACTCACGAACGTGTGCTTAACACATGTGTGCATAATAACTCAAGTAGTATGGAGTAAATTTTCATTTTAAATGAATAGAGGTCTTAGACACGGAGATCCGTTATCCACGGTGCTTTTTAATTTGGTAATAAAAACAATAAATCAGAAATAGCCGAGTTAAAATGACCGGATCCATCTTCAACAATAAACATCAATGTCTGAGCTTCGCTGATAATCTTACTATTTTAATGATTAATGATAAAATAATTACAAAATGCTATTAAAAGATTAGAAATGGAGGTAAAATATTTTGACCTAGAAATAAACCAGGAAAAGTCAAAGTGCATGATTATCAAAAATACAGAGCAAAAAAACAGAGGTTTACTTTCATATTTAATAAATTAAAGAAAATATGATTTCAAGAGCGTGGTTCACTTTATCTATCTGGGAGTTATTATAGAAGAGAAAGTTTAGGAAGAATGGGAACTGAATGCCAGAATGGCAAAGGGAAATAAAAAGATGAGAGGCCTAAGATGACTTCTTCTTCAAGTTCCACTCCTATCGGAGATTGGAAATCATTCTGGCAATTATAATTTTATTGGTTACTCGCCTGAATAGTTCAATTGAACTGCATCCAAACCACTCACGGAGATTGCGTAGCCACGAGATTTTACGTCTTCCTACGCTTCTTTTACCTTTGATTTTACCCTGCATTATGTTCCTTAGTAGTTCGTACTTTTCACCTCTCATGATGTGCCCCAAGTATTCCAATTTCCTGATCTTTATGGAATTTAAAACTTCGCATTGTTTTCCTAGTTGTTCGAGAACTTGTTCGTTTGTTTTGCGATCCATCCATGATATTTTCAAAATGCGTCGGTAACACCACATTTCGAATGCTTCTAGGTTTTTAATGTTGGATTTTTTAAGTGTCCAAGCTTCAACTCCATACAAGAGGGTAGAGAAAATATAACATCGAAGCATTCTTATCCGGAGCGATATATTGATATCGCGATTACAAAAAAGTTTTCTCATTCTATTAAAAGTTGACCGCGCAATTTCAATGCGCGGTCAACTAAGATGACTGATGAAATACAAATATGTATCGAGAAAAACAAAGGTTATATAAACAATTATAAGGTCCACAGTGATGTATGGTAATGAAGTATGAACAATGAAAATAGCAAATACGGAGAAAATGGAAAGGTAAGATATGAAAATGCTCAGAGCTATATATGGAAGCAAAACCACGGTGGAAGGTTGGGTTTGATGAACCAACAGGGAGCTAGAGGAACTGTATAACGAACCAAGCATCAGTCGATTCATAAAAGTACAAAGCGTGAGATGGATGGGGCACGTGATGAGAAGGAACAGGATGCCAAAGATGATTCCAAATTGTGACTTAATCACGAATAGAAGAAAAGGACGACCTAGACACAGATGGTTTTATAGCGTATAGGAACATCTTAGATAAGAGGGAATTGATGGTTGAGAAGAAATAGCAACCAACAGAGATCTTGGATGTTGAAACAAGAAACCTGATAGGATAAGAAGCCACCCAACTTGATACAAGATTTATAATATATAAGTATTATATTAATTATATTAATTGTATTTTAGCCCTAGTCCTTCAATGCCTATTGAGATTTGTAAATAAATATGAATTACTTTAGGAGAGGTATTTAGTATACGGCTCAGAAGACTTATAATTCTATCGGTGTCACATTTTTTCGAATTTTGGTAAAGTTATAAGTGTAGATTTAGCCAGCCTTGAATAATTTTATCTATGTGAGCCATTTTATTCCTTTTTGGTCTATTAATTTTAGAAATTTTGCGTGAAAATTATTGGGATCTATTGCCTTTCTGTCTATATTTCTACATATGGCGTTTCTCAAGTTTAAGCGGATAGCCTGTTATTCCCTCGAAGCCATCGTTGGATTTCTGGCATTCATATTTAAAAGTTTTTGTATTTAAAGGGACCTATTTTGTATTTTAATGGACACCTTTAAATGTATTTAAAGGTGTCCATTTTCTTTTCCATAATTCTTATTTTAAATGTAACGTGTTTTCCCCCTGAGTAATTTTTCTTTGGTTTCTTCGATGTAGTTCTTTATCTTTTTGTTGAGTTTTTCCATATAATTTTTAGTACATTTACGATTGCGTCTCGTATATTATCTCACAATTAGAACATATGTCATCCATAATTTCTTCTTTGTTCCTGTAAGTTAGTCTGTCTAACTGTATGTAGTACTTCATCTAACTTATATATATATATAATATATATATATATATATATATATATATATATATATATATATATATATATATATTCAAACAAACTCATACATATTATCTACAAATATAGTTTTTTAAAATATTCGTTTGGGGCAAGTATGGCACTGACTCAGCTTGCCAAACGATAAGCTAAATCTCGTTAGGCCCAAATTTACAATTTCGCGAAGACACGATAATTAATGAAGAGTTTTGTGTTGGTGCGACAATTGCCCGATAACAGAGACATTATCTACAATTAATGAGGAGATTTGAGCTCTGAATATTGTAAGCCGTACATAAGTCTAACCTCGCTGGTTTTTGTTTTAAGTGGTAGACGATTTATTACACGCTGCCCGATATTATCAAGTTGTCTTGCTCTATTATTTTATTTTATTTCAATGCGAGTTACGCAGAGATTGAATATTTAGATACCACACAGTTTGCAGTTAGATATCTATCAATGTACATAGCGTAGTTGTAGATGTATTTGTCTTTAACAAGTCCACTTGCATTGTGAAAAATATTAAGAGATTTACATATCCCAGATATGACAGCTTGCATTGATTTTATTCTTTTGGATCAAGATAAATACATACAGATAGCTGTTTTCAATTCATATTTTAAATAAGCAAAAACGACTGTTGAAATAAATAAAACAAAATAAAAAATTATATCGTGATTACAATATACTGAGTGTTCTATTATTGATATTGGGTATAGAAAGTTACTTATTAATTATTAGAGTTAATTTATTGGTAGGTCTCTTAAAATGACTCTAGATTAGTAGAAAGACTATAACCAATACTTTATTTTTTCTTTTTTATCATGCCTTATACCACCAGCTATAAGTTATACAGTTAACGTTGCGCGTTGGTTAGATCGATCCATCTTTTTTTCTTAGGGTTTCGTATCCACTAGGTCCTAGTGTACAAATGGTACAAATGGTTGTAAAAATTTTACTTTATGGTGGATATCACAGCAAAATTAAATGAGCTGAAGCTAAAACTGCAAGGAAAGGGAAACCCAGCCTATGTTTTAGTGGAAGGATTTGTTTGTTTTAAAGAAAAATTAATTCTTTTTCCAGAAGATATTCAGAGCGGTAAATTACTTCATTTTTAATTTCTAAAGGAATATCACGATAAAACCAGTGCAACTGTTGACACGAATTACTATAGCACAGTTACAAAAAAAATTTAAAATGAATTTGCGGGCAGATTTAAACAGTTCAAAACCAACAAAACTACCTTAGCATTCATAGTAAACCCTCTCAACTCAAATAGTAACGAAATTCACGTTGAGCCATTTGGAATTCATACTGGATCTTTAGAAATGCAATTGATCGATTTAAAATGTAAAGCGTTGTATAGTGGAACATTTCCAGAATTGAAAAGCAAGCTGGAAGAGTTGGAAGTCCAGAAATGTATGTACGTAACCAAAAAAAGGACAGCTTTGAAAGAAATGCCCCGAATTGAGGGACTTATATTCGACGCATGGAATAGTCTTCCAGATTGCTACAGTAAGGTGAAGAAGTTGGCATTTGGAGTACTATCTTCGGATCGATATATTCTTGCGAGCAAGCGTTCTCTTGTATAAAGAGAAAAACACTATATACCTAAATATGAATAAATAGACTAACTTTTTTATCAAAGAACTTTATTTATGCCAGTACTATTTATTGTTGCAAAAAAATGTGTGGCTTTTTAAAAACTTTAAAATTTTGTAAATTATAATTTTTGGCTCTTCCGACTCAAAAGGTTGCCGACCTCTGCACTAGGACGTTCAAAGTTACACTAATCAACACAAATCTATCAATGTTCTTTTGTCCACTGTCGTTGATCCGTAAACTAGCAATTCCGTTGCTTGACAGTTCTTCTTTTATTTACCTTTGATCTTCCCTATAATGATGAATTGTAAAAGGGTTATATTAATTATTTTTCATAATCCTTAAATCCTTAATTTCTTAAACCACGTTGAGTAGTTCCATTTGCCTTCCCATATTTTCGACTTTAATATTCGTCGTTTAATTCGCCCATAATCTTCTGAAAATTACACGATAATACGAAAATTAAAAAGTTTTATTTTCATTTTTAACGATTTTGTACTTGTCCACGCCTTGATATCGTCATATTTGTTGTCATGTGCTTGTAAGTAGGCTAACTAGAAAGCTGAAGAAGAAGCACATTTTTTTTAAGAACTTTTAATGAGGAATTAAAACCCAAGATCAGAAAATCATATTTCCATTGTTTTATAACCGTACGAGCTGAAAATTGAACAGATTATATGTGAAGATCTAGATTTTAGAATCCAATTTATAGATGGCACATACAGAGGTGTAAAAAATTATAGCCTGGTAAAGTGATTGTACTCGTAAAATACCGCCACGTGTTTTGTTCGAGTTCGGTTTTTTTAGATGTTTGTTCAAATTAAAACAATTTACAATATTTTTTTTAAACTGATGTAGCTCGAGAAAATAATACGAACTGAGCTCCTTTCACCCCCCGGAAATTCTAAAAAACCCAAAAAAATTTGTAAATTAATTTTTAAAAAGTAAATTAATTTGTCTTTCATAAAATAATTCTTAAATTTTACTATTATTTCGTAAAAAATATTTAAATATTTATAATTAATATTAGAAGAATTAATAATTATTATTACATGTTTATATAAATAATATACATTAGTCAACAAAATTTACATATTTTTTCCAAATACAAGAAAAATTCAACTTTTTATGAAAAAATTTAACTAATTGATTTTTCTGAGATTTTTTGATTTTCGCGAGAAGAGAATATAGCATAGCTGGTATTTTTTTTTTCAAGCTACCGTAATTTTAAAATTAAGCTTCTGTGTGCCATATATAACGAGAGATTGCAAACGTTTCAGCGTGCTCCAATTTGAAGTTTCATTCTCAAAAAAGGAGTTTGGACAGGCGGTATTCAACGACTACCATTGCTTTAACAGGTTATACCTTTTTTCTCCTTTTCGATATTTATGTCATCTATAAAATGGATCATAATATTTTGAACTTTGTTTATAATCTCTAAGTAGCGAATGTCGGGGTAGCGTAAGTCGAGGTATTACTGTATCTTGGAGTATCAGCGAATTGCTTGCGATCTGCAAAATACCTCTAGACCTACAAAGTCGCTGTTTGGGCAAATACATATATAAAAACATATAAAAAATCAAAAATAACATAAAAATAAAAACTTCATAAAAATAAAAGAAAATTGAATAAAAATAAGTGATCAAAATTTTTAGGCATTTACTAACACATACAATTATTGTATCTGAATGTAAAATGTATATAATGTAAGCAATGGTTAATAAAACTGTAGGAAAACAAGACTGGCCTTTTGGCTTTGCCAGTGCCATTAGTGTAAGAAAAACTTTTGGATTTTCGCTTGGTACCAGATTTGTCATGTATTGTATATTACCAAAATAAATGCTTAAACCAACTTCATTACAAGTGTCATCTAACTCAGTAAGCATAGTTCCAATCTCTTTTAAGTTATCTCTTATCAGAACTGTCGTACACAGTGTAGGGTATACCGTGTAGCCTTACAATTATAGTTGCATAATGCGTGTACCGATAATCTCTGCAACTATCCATCAACGCTTTCATTATGCTGTTAGTTTCTATCTTATCGAATGCTTTCGGAAAGTTTACGAAAGCCAAAACCAATGGTTAGTTGTATTATCCTTTGCATATTTTTACAGCCTATTAGGCGTATGGGTCGCTAATTCTCGGGGTCTGCTGGATCCCCTTTTTGTGTAATAAAACAGTAAGTACACTGTGCCATTTTGTTGGTATTGTACTTTGCTGTAGACATAAGTTGAACAATTTCTTTATACTTTCTAAAAGTCTGTTTCCTCCAATCTTGGCGGCTTTTATAATGATATTATGTTCTCCCGATGCTTTATTATTTTTTTAATATTTGTTAGTAGATCTCTTATTTAGTCTCTTGATAAATCAGGACTCAATTCGAATTCTTGGTTGACTCATATATTTCCTGAATTTTCTAACTTTTCTGTTAGTTGCTTATCATGGTTTTGTTGACTTCTTTATAATTCTCTATAGAAATCTTCTACTACCAATTTATTTTTGTTTGTGATTGTATATCCATTTTTATCATCTAATTCCCTTATTTATTTTTTGCCATTTGTTGATTTTTTTCTTAGAACTTTGAGACTTGACATTTTCAATTGTTTATTAGATGCTATTCACTTTTATGCTTTTGGTTGTTCACCCTAATGGATTTTTGTACTATTTTACTTATATCTCCAAGTTCATGATGTTCTTTGCTTCTATTACTTTTATTTGCATTTTTTTCCTCTCTGGTAGCTATAGTTGACTAAAAGTAATAAACAAATGTTATGATATTAGCGAATGCAGAGTATGTAGTTCCGCCACTGCCAGCGTTTTGTTCGTTCATACTCAGTTATTTCCATTTCGAAATCGGTTTAACACGTGCTTAAAAGTGCAATTATTTTTGCAGTGTAATAAATCATTATATTTTGATCAGCAACCATTCTCTTTATTGCTTGTACACAGGCATGAAATAACCAAAATAAAAGCGTTTTAAATTTTTATTGATTTTTTTGATAATGTATGAGCTATTGTAATGGATGGACCATAGCCATAAACGACTTTACGATAGAAAATAAAATTAACAATAAAAGATAATGAGAATATATATCATAGAAGATAATAATCTGGGTTTTGTTTAATTAATAGTTTTAGTTGTGCTGTTGAACAATGAACGTTTATAATTATTACATTTTGTTAGTAAATTCATTCCATCAACATTCCTAAAGCTAAATGAAAACATTGATATTTCAGTATGACCAAAAAAAAATACATCAACGATGAAAATTTGGGAATAGTTAGATGAAAGTGATATTTTAAAATTTTTTTCAAAAATGATTTTGAAAATGAATGAAATAGTTTTCATATACTGGGCTGTATTTCGAAAAACAACGAAAAAAATATGTTTTTTTAGAAAATTACTTATTGGCATGGTTTTATCCTAAAAATTTGTACGAACTATTTTCTTATACTTTTAACGTAGTTTTTAAAATAGAGCCCTTTTTGTAACTGCTTATTTGGGTTACCTATTAGATGCACGCACACATACAAAATGACATATTTTTGAATTAACCATTTTTTTAATCTATAATTGAGAACAATTACCAAACATAAAAATTTAAAATGACATAAAATGTACAAAACAACCTTAATTTTATTATGAATGAATTTGCATAGTAAATTAAAAATAATTTAATTTAGAAAATATGCTTAACGTTTAACTATATGCGGTGGTGTATTTTATACACCACTTACAGAAAATGAGCCATACATTTCCAGAATCTTATCAGGATGGTGACACCGCACCACCTAACCTTCAACCAATTAGTAGTAAATATTCCAAAACTGTGACAAACATTGTAAGAATATTTCCTGGCCTAAAATTTTTACCGATGACATGCTTGAATAAATTGTTGAATGTACCAATATATAGGTAGAGAAAGTATGGCTAAACTACGATAGATCTAGAGATGCAAAACTTATATCTAAGTAGATAGATAGATAGATCTTTATTTAAATAGAAACCCGAATATACATACAATATAAAGAAAGTACACTATAAATTTTTGATATATTGTTTAAGTAACAGTTTGAAATTATTGAGACTAGTACATTTTTTTACAGATGTTGGTAACTGATTAAATTTAACGAAGCTTTTAAAAAAGAGCGAATTCATCGTACAGGTACATATTTATGTCATCTAAACCTCGGGTATTATAAGAATGAATACTTTTGTTAAAAGAAATGAATTCTTGAAAATATTCAGGTGATAAGCCATTTACTATTTTGACGACCAAAATCATGGTGAAATAAAACAGTCTATTTTCAACAGAGAACCAATTTAGCGTATTTAATAATTATCGTCCCAATTGGGGCACGGCGATTTGTTTTAGAATTATTCTCATTCCACGGTTCTGTAATTTTGTAGCATGTTAAGTTTGTTAAGGTTCAATAAATATAAAATTGATAAATAATTAATATAAATATCTAAGAGTGATTTATTGGCATTTTTAGGATTGTTATATTTATTTGGAATTAGAAAAGAGAATCATACTCCTTTTCTAGAATTATGGACAAAAGATGGAACTGAATCGATAATATTTAGGGCTCTAATGGATTTTAACAGAAATTTATTTATTCTTAAAGTACTTAGACTTGACAATAAGGTAAGGAAACCTGAGAGAAAGAAAACAAATAGACTTACACCTTTGTTTTATGTGATTCGCGAATTTTTAACGTGAGTAACATTGAATAGAATTTAATATGAAGAAGTGAAAGAAAAATTTTATGAAGAATTAGAGTCATTGTGTAAAGAAATGCCCAGACAAGATACTAAAATTATTATAGGCGACGCCAATGCAAAGGTCGGAAGAGAAGATATATATAAAAACATAACAGGGGGTGAAAGTAAACACTTGAATACAAATAATAATGGACAAAGACTAATTACATTCGCAATTGAAAACAGGATGATGATAATAAGTACCAATAAGAAAAAATATATATAAAGGAGCGTGGAAAATTCCGGGATCAAATGGAACTAATCAAATAGAGCACATCTTAATACAAGAGAAGTTTGTCAATTTAATAACAAATGTGAAAACGTGCAGAGGGGCTGACGTAGACTCAGATCATTTTTTAGTTAAAATTAATATGAGAGAAGCAATAATTAAAAAGCATAAACGTAAAAAGAAAGTGCAACGTAAATTTAACTTTGAAAAACTGCGAAAATTTGAGGTAGCGCACGATTATCAAAAGGATGTACAAAAAACCTACGCCAAACAAGATAGTACTACTGTGAGTAACATACAACAAAAGTTCTTGAAAATGACAAACACTATAAAGTAAGCTACGTCGAAGAACATACCAAGAACAAAAAGATTTAGAAAAAACCACTGTTTCAGTGACTAATGCAGAACAGATTTAAAAAAGAGATCAGATTTAAGATTAAAAAGACAACGATCGCAAAAACAACACGACCTAGAAAGGTATGAAGAACAACGAAAAAAAGTAAAGACAATCCTAAGGAAACGGAAACGAAAGTATATGGATGATAAAATTAAGCGCATTGAAGAAAATTACTAGAAAAATGAAATAAAAAATTTTTATAAAGAAGTAAAATACATTCAAACTGGGTACCAGGGAAGAAAGATGAATGTAAGAATGTAAGAGATAAGCAAGGAAACCTGATAGTGGACGAAGACCCAATATGTGAAAGGTGGAAAGAATGTTTCGAAAAGATGCTAAATGACGAAGTGCCTACTGAAGAAAATTTTTATGTTCCTAAACCTCAAATAGTAATAGAAGAAATACCAAAGCCCACAAGAGAAAAAATTGAAGAAATAATAAAAGATTTGAAAAATCCAAAAAGCCCCGGGGAGAGCGGCATTGTGGTAGAGAACATAAAATATGGAGGAGAGGTCTTAATAAACAAACTTGATAAGCTAATAATAGAAGTATGGGATGTCGAAAAAATGCCTCAAGTATGGAATAAGTCGATTATAATCCCTATACACAAAAGGGAGGTAGAACTGAATGCGCAAACTATAGAGGAATATCCTTACTAGAGGTAAGTTATAAAGTACTCGCCATACTAATTGAAAACGATTAGAAATATATATATATATATATATATATATATATATATATATATATTTTATACAAGAAGTACCAATGCTTAGCATACGCTGATGATGTGGTTCTCATTGCAAGAAATGGAAAAGAACTATCAAATATAACAAAAAGACTGATTCGGGAAAGCTCTAAAATGGGACTGAAAGTTAATATTAATAAATCGAAGTACATGGAGATCTCGAGCAAAAAATGAGTACACACCAGGGGATCCTTTAAATTGGAGGTGGAGGATGGATCAGTTGTAGAATTCGAGAAGGTATATGAATATATGTACTTGGGTACTCTTATTGATCAGACATGAAAGGAAGAAACTGAAATCAACCTGCGACTGACCAAGAGCACGCTTGCTTATGGCTCCAGCACTACACTTGTGCTGGAGCCATAAGCAAAATAATTATGGCCAAAGATGTATCTAGTAATACAAAAATAAGAGAAAACACAACTATAATTAGACCCACAATGCTATACGCTGCCGAAACATGGACTATGAACAAAACCATACAGAACACATTGGAAGCATGGGAAAGAAAGATACTTCGCAGAATATTTGGTGGAAAAGTAGTAGATGGAGAATGGAGAAGACGAACTAATGCAAAAGTGTATCATTTGTATGCTAACCCTACAATAACAAAAGTGGTGAAAAAACGTAGACTAGAATGGCTCGGTCATCTAGAAAGAATGCAAGGTAATAGATTAGTCAAGAATATTGCTTGAAAAGTACCTAAGGGCAAAAAAAGAGAGAAACACCAAGAAAGAAATGGAGAGATGTAGTGATGGAAGATGTCAAAGAGATGGGAATCAGAGATTGGAAGCTGTTAGCTAAGCATAGAAAACGATATAAGTTATCCATCCAGCAATGGGCCTAAAAGGCCTGTTAACGCTGTACATGTATATACAAACATTGAAATATTTTGCGTTAAAAAGCTCGAAGAACCATATTAAAAATGCAATACTTCAACTCCCATTACACTACGCTTGATAAAACTCTAGGCAGGCAAAAACAGAAACTTGCGACAACTGGTATACAAACTACCCTTTAGCAAAAGAGCTTTTAACAAAAAACATAACAATGGTTGGAACATATTCAGTATCTCGAAGGTATAGAAGAGAGCTAGTAGTGATATCCTTTCGGCTAATGAACATAGCCGGTATAATTAGTAAAATTTTATACAACGCTGTTCATCATGAAAATCCACAGACATGCCGACGACGTTACCTAAAAGCGTTAGCTATGGCTCTGATGATACCGTATCTCTCAGAAATAAAATGAAAAGTTTTCCATCTGATATTCAAAACTTTCTTTCTAAATATAGAATATCTCGTTGAACTTTTTCTTCGTCACATTTGTCGCAATTGAGATTTTTAGCAGACCTATTAATTTAAACATATCTCCATATTTTTATTCAACTATTCACTTTCATGAGTTTCCGTTAAACTCAAAACTTTATTCTTTATTAAGTTCTGTTCTTTTACATTGTTCCATGCTTTTACATTATCTAGAAGCAGCATCATCTAAGAGAGAATCATCATTCGAATTAATATTTTTCTGATTTTTTCGGCTTTTTTCTCCCTTGTTTTCTTTTTTAAAGTGTAACTTACGTAACAATTGTTTTCTATAATATTGAAAGCCTCAATAACCCTTGATCCATGAGTTGTAATAATGATGTTACTATTAACCTCTTTTAGGACATAAACACATTTGTGTACGTATCGTTTAAAATATTGTAATAATACTTTAAACTTGGTTCTCATCTGCGTAGTGGCAATCTTTGTGACATCTACAATCCCCCAAGAGTGATCAAAATCGCTTGACTAAGTATCTCGTGACATTTATATATTCATGACTCTCCTTGACGATGTTTTGAGGTTATAAGAAAAAATCCAGATACTGTAAAATCCAGATCGACATAATTTTGTGCGATAAAAATTGGTGAGTACTGGAGAAATATCTAATATACAATATCGTACAATAAAATCAAAAATATTATTTTGGTGTATTGAGTGAATTTCGTGAAAATAACTGTACACATTTGTGTGAGTATGTGATGCAGAAATTTTAAAATAATTTTGTTTTTTTTTCATTTTAGAATAAGGCCTACTGTTTAGGAGATACCTACCTCATGATTTTATCGCAAAAAACAGAGGGAGTAACCATTCTAAGCTCTGTACAAAATCCAAACAATTCAGATTTGGAGGAAACTGAAATTGAGAATGATGGCCAATTAGAAGAAGAATTGAATTCCCTATTGGAATTGCCACATAACAGAGATACCATGGAAGAACTTTCCGAACCAAATGATACTTCTGATACTGATAGTGACTATGATGATATTCCTCTGGCTTTGAGATGCAGATAACAAAAATACGGTAAGAAGAGAGCAACCGGTCCAACATTGCAATTTGCAAACGTTGCAATTATAAATGCTTGGTTGTTATTCAGAGAAGCCAAATCATCCAAAATATCTTTACACTGGAATTTAAAGCATCTATCGCTTCAACTTAATTAAATTAAATAAAAATGTAAGAAAACAAGGAAGACCCTCATCTGAAAATTTTGCTCCAAAAAAAGAAAAAGATGTGTACTAAAGTTGCGCCTGAAGTTCGCTTGAATGGATTGGGACACTATTCAATAAAAATGGATTACAAAAATCCACCAGATGCCATGACAGAAATTGCAAACGCAGAACACGATACAGATGCAAGGAGTGTCAGGGGAGTGTCTGCTCAGAATGCATGGAATCGTTTCATCAATATATCATCTGGCCATTGGCAACATATGTATATGTTTTAGTTTTTGACTTTTACAATGTCAAATTTGACAATAATTTTTTTAACAATTTTTCGTGTATGCGGATGTTAAAAATTAAAAAAGAAAAATTTTTGATTTTTTTTTTATTTAAAGAATTAATCCTGCTCTGAAGAGGTTAAGTGAAAAAAGCAATAATTTTATAAAATAGTCTTTTTCATTTAAGATATCATATTATGGATGAGTTGTTGCATTATTAAGAAACAATCACGCTTTCTCCACTTTACCACTTTTCAACTGAGGGCTCTAACAGACGGTATAAGAATTTTTATAAACCATTATATGAAATTAATCCTGCAAATGCCAATGCGTTGAAGTATAGTCTAAATCAAGAGAATGCTTCGAAGATCAACTGAGAATTATTTTAGATTATAAAACCAAATGTTTTATTTGCAACTGTAAAAGTGGTTGTAAAAAACTTAGCTAAACTCAATTGAAGTAATGCTATTACCGTGTCCCGCAAAATACTTGGTTGCACTGTACACGCCACGTCCAATATCTTATTAGGTGGTCAGTAATGGTAATAAATAAAATAATGGGTGGAGACAAACTGATGGGTGGCATAAATTGGAGTATTTTACAAGTTTTGTCTGCTATCTCGATATAATCTCGGTTCCAGTAGCAAATGCAATAATTTTCATCGACAGACATGAAATGTTTCATTTTGTTAATGTAATTCTTGTTATTTGAATTAATTATTAGATTCATTTTTTTAATATTTATTGACTGCTTTCAATAAAGAAATAAGCAAACACATTTAAGCACAATACTAATCTCCTCTTAGTCTATTAGTTAATCAAATTATGAATGCCAACTTAATTGTACCTGGTTACCGTCGAAATTCAGAGGTAGATATTGGTAACTAATGAAGCCTTCATAATCACTTTGTATTACGTTCCTTGTTTAATATTAAATTACTGTGGGTGTAGATAAGCACCCTTGAGGGTGATTAGAAATTAATTTGGAGATTCCACAAAAGGACAATTATACAGGTATAATATATATATATATATATATATATATATATATATATATATATATATATATATATATATAGATATATATATATATATATATATATATATATATATATAGATATATATATATATATATATATATATATATATATATATATATATATATATATAATTCCACGAGGAAACTAAGTTCCTGTAGCTGGCTGTATACCATATATCACAAAAAATTTTGTTTAAAATCCTTTATAAAAGGTATATAAAAATGCCCCAAACGGGCTATCACAAACACATTGCAAAACGTTTTCGGATTAAACAATCCATCATCAGTGCAAACGGTTGTACATGCTAGTAGCCACCAAAATATATGGGTAAAAACCCTTTAAATGTTTAAAATTTGAAGTTGTTTTACATTATTAGTATTTATAATTTGTGATGGTTAAGTTACGGTTGGATAGGTAACATGGCGGCGTATGACTCTACATGAGTAAAATGGTCCTGAGACGAAGTGTCTACGAGGACCTGTTGATAACAACAACAACAAGTTGTATATCCAACGGTAACTTAACCATCACAAATTATAAATACTAATAATGTAAAACAACTTCAAATTTTAAACATTTAAAGGGTTTTTACCCATATATTTTGGTGGCTACTAGCATGTACAACCGTTTGCACTGATGATGGATTGTTTAATCCGAAAACGTTTTGCAATGTGTTTGTGATAGCCCGTTTGGGGCATTTTTATATACCTTTTATAAAGGATTTTAAACAAAATATATATATATATATATATATATATATATATATATATAATATATATATATATATATATATATATATATATATATATATATATATATAATATATATATTATATAATATATATATATATATAATATATATATATATATATATATATAATATATATTATATAATATATATATATATATATATATATATATATATATATTATATATATAATATACGGAGTGGCCCAAAAGTCTGGAAACGGCTAATTATCTCGTAAATTACTAGACATAATTATACAAAATTTGAGGTACGCCTATTTTGGGATACGGAGATTCCATATTTGGTATTTGCAATGTTGCCAGATTTTCAGTTTTTCTTATATTACTAGTAACTTTTTTCAAATGCATCACCCTGTATATTCAGTCATTATTGGAATCTCCTATTAAATACAAGTTCAACCATATGTAACACTTATGATTTTATGTAGTCTGGAAGGTCTTAAATACATAAAACAGAAGTCTGGCAACGCCTAAATTGTTTCAATACATTTTTTAATACTAACTATTTTCAAATACATTAAAACGTAGCAATTGATAGTTTAGAATATTTTTTAATATAATAGTTACGTTATGAAGTGTTCAAAATGTGGTCCATTTGTGAATTGACAGCACTCTAATCGATGGTAGGATGCGTTTACCACATTTCTCCATGATTGTCTAAAAATTATTCAAGATTCATTGCCTTAGCTATGCAAGACTTGCTGGTTAAGTTTTGTAAACTGAATTTTTCAAGTATCTCTAATAAAAATACTCTTTAGGATTGAGATCGGGTGAACGTGGAGGCCATTCAATTCTACCTTGTCTACCAATTTATCGTCTGGGAAATATCTCATCTAAATGACGCCGAACATTTACACCAACTATCTGACGTTAAATCTCTTTCGATAAAAAATGGCCCAATTAAATAAGTACCTACTATAAACTGACCATCCATTTAATTTTTGTGGTCTGAGTATGGTTTTCACGCATTCATCGTAAATTTCAGACGATTTCACACGAGTTCAGCTATTCAATACGAGTTCAACCATATGTTCACTTGATTTTATGTAGTCTCAAAGATCTTAAATACATAAAACAGTGCAAAATATGTAGATTTTAATAAATTTAAATATTTAAATGGAGAATGCTGTGATTTTGACATTTGTTCCCCATTCACCATGTAAATTATGAACTAAAATTGACAGTAGTTGTGGTTCCAAAAGTTCTGCAATTTAAATTGCTTCTCTAAAATGCCGTTCTCCTATTCATAAGACGACGGTACAAAAAACTGTAAAACGATTTGAGGAATCTGGAGAAGTAAAAGATAGATACCGATCAGGTTGACGGAAACGAGTTATCAATGACAACAAAACTTCAGATATAAGCAAAGTTTTGTTGAAGATCCACATACATCCCCAGGCAGGGTTGCACAAGTACATGATGTAGGTCATTTTTCAGTCTTACGTTTATTACGTAAAAATAAATTTAAATCATACAAAATTAACTTATTGCAAGAATTAAGTGAAGATGACTTTGGTCGTAGGTTAGAGTTTACTGAGGTAATGATGGATAAAATTGAAAATTATTACAATTTCGTTAACAGAATATGTTTTTTCCCATGAAGCAACTTTTACACTGTGTGGAAGTGTAAATCGATACAATTTAAGGTACTGGTGTGACGTAAATTCACACTGAAGACTGAATGGGTGAAAACCATACTCAAAGACCACAAAAATTAAATGTATGGTCAGATATAGTAGTTACTTATTCAATTGGGTCATTTTTTGTCGAAAGAAATTTAACGTCAGATAGTTGGTGTAAATGTTCGGCGATATTTAGATGAGATATTTCCTGGACCATAAATTGGTAGACAAGGTAGAATTGAATGGCCTCCACGTTTACCCGATTTCAATCCTAAAGATTATTTTTATTAGGGATACTTGAACAATTCAGTTTACAAAACTTAACCAGCAAGTCTTGCAGAGCTAAGGCAACGAATTATCAATGAATCTCGAATAATTTCTAGACAATCATGGAGAAATGTGGTAGACGCCTTCTACCATCGATTAAGGTGCTGTCAACTAACAAATTGAGCACATTTTGAAAATAACGTAACTACTATGTTAAAAAATGTTCTAAACTATCAATTGTTACGTTTTAATGTATTTGAAAATAGTTAGTATTAAAAAAATTATTGAAACAATCTAGGCGTTGCCAGACGCCTGGCACACGTTACATATGGTTGAACTCGTATTGAATAGGAGATTCCAATAATGATTGAATATTCAGGGTGATGTATATCTATATATATATATATATATATATATATATATATATATATATATATATATATATATATATATTCTTTTTGTTACTAAACAAAGAAGAATTTTTTAAACAAAACTTTATTTTTGACAATATGTCAAAAATAAAAATTTTTAAGTTATTATTTATGACATTTAGGCTGGTTGTAGCTATTCTATTTTTGTTTACAAATTCAATTTTTTTTCTCAAGAAACTTTATCAAAATTTTTCAGAGAAACATTTATTAGAATAAGACATTTTTTTATTATTATATTATTATATTATATTATATTATATTATATATAAAAATATATTTATTATATTTTTTGTATTTAATATGTTAAGCAGTAGTTTTATATAAACAACTAATTTTATTTGGTGAGTTAACAAAAAATTTTTTATTTCTAGTTCAACTTTGTAAGATATTTTGTATTTTTTAGAA